AAAGTCATATTTAGGAAAGGGCCATACGCTTTATGTAGACAATTTTTACTCAAGTCCCGCATTATTCAACCTATTACACGACAATCGCACAAATGCATGCGGGACAGCAAGAAGAAGACGGCAAGGAATGCCCAAGATCGATGATAAATTGAAGAAAGGAGAAGCGTCATTTCGTACCTCGAAAAATTTACTAGTAATAAAATGGGTTGATAAGAAAAAAGTACACATGATCTCAACCATGCATACTGCAGATTTCGTGACAGTATCCAAATATGGAGGAACACAGAATGTACTTAAAGCCTGTGTGTGTTGTAGACTATAATAATTCAATGGGTATAGTTGATAAAGTAGACATGGTACTTAGTACTATAAACTCAACTCGAAAAACGTTAAAATGGTATCGGAAATTTTTTTTTCATCTAATTGATATTTGTGTATGGAACGCGTACTGTCTTTATGAGCATAAAAGAAACGAAAACATATCCATGGCGCAGTTTCAATTGCACTTAATAAAACAAATGATCAATAAATATCATAATGATTATATAAATAATCAAAGAAGAAAAACTGATCAACCAATGCGACTAACAAAAAGACATTTCCCATCATTATATACCTTAAAAGGAAAGAACCGGAGTCGTCGGTGCGTAGTTTGCAGTAAAAACAACAAACGATCTGATTCACGATATGAATGCAAAGACTGCAATGTTGATTATGTGTGGATCCATGTTTTAAAATATATCACACCCAATTAAATTATTAGCCGTCTTGTGTCTAATTATACATCAACTAATAATATGGAAACAGTCATTTTTGTTGTGTATATAATTTTGTTTATAATCTTGTATATAATCATATAATCTGTATATAATTTTTATAAATTTTACTTATATAATTGATAGAATCTTATATAACTATCTCTTAATATTAAAGTTACAAACACTTGAAAAAAAGCATTGTTTTTAGTGTCCGACCGAAACTAGTTTTTACAACCAAAACCGAAACCGAAACCGAATTTCGGTTTCTGTCTCAGTTTCGGCCGAAACCGAAACCAGAACCGAAACTTCCTTTTATGGTAATTCCTTATTACAGTTTTTTAGTTTGAGCCTGTTTCCGTAAAGTTTAGCTAGCTGCAGGTGCGTATGTGTTTAAAAAAGCCCTTATTCGATAAACGAATAACTTTATTGCTCTTAAACAATCAACAAAAACAAGTACCACAAACGTTCTTCTGTATGTGAGGTGAGGTGTGTAATTCACACAGAAAGAAAATAATTGATTAATGCAGTTTTTATTATCAATATCAGTACTGTACTAATATCACACAATTATTATTACAGTCTCTTTGACAGTCAAAGTTTTAGTTATAAAAATAAATTAAAACTTGAGTTTGTAAAAAAAAATATCAACATGTCAAGTACCTATTATTAATTCAAAGGCATATAATTACGCATTATCATAATAATAATTATGAAGTTGCCAACAAAAAATAGTTAAAAAAA